GGGAGGCGCGCCCACCAACGCCCACCAGCGAGAGGGGTAGGCACTTCCAGGTGGCATATCTCCTCAGGACTTGATTTTCAGAAAAAGTTGTCAACTACAAAAATGAAGCCCATGACTTGTTTAGCAGACTCTGAGATTTTCAAACAGATAAAACTAATTAAGATGATGAAATTGAAATTCCTAATTTTTGGAAGATGTTTAAAAAAAGTTGATCCAAGAGATTTTTTTTTTGAAATTTTCGGACTTCAAAAAGTTATTAGCTAAAAACCTAACTCATATTTTTCGGATTTGTCTGAAAATTTCAGTGTATACTATACAAAATGTTATGTCCTTATGGTGGCTATGAGACGAGGTTAAACTAAGAGTTTATTTACATAGAGAGAACCATTTAATACAGAGTTCAATAAGCTTATATAGGCAGTTGCTATCGCCACGTAGATCTGAGGGTTGACGTCATCCAGACAGTTCACGTCACAACACAAAACTAGAGCTTTCTTTTTGCAGTTGACAACTTTTTCTGAAAGTTAAGTCCTGAGGAGATATGCCAAGTGGAAGAGGGCGAACCGGCGCGCCCGCCCAAGCGAGGGAACAGACATCAAAAAGGAGGGGCGCTTCTACGTGGCATATATCCTTAGGACTTGATGTTTTTAAAAACTTGTCTACTACAAAAATGAAGCCCTAGTTTTGTTTAATATACTCAGAAATTTTCAGACAGATTCAAAAAGTTTGGAGCTAGATTTTTAGCTAGTAATTCGTGGAAGTTCAAAATTTCCAGAAATAATTTTTTAATAACTTTTTGAAATTTAATTTGTCTGAAAATCCAACTACAATTTTCTGGATTTGTCTGAAAATTTGAGAGCATACTAAAAAAGACAAGGGCTTCATTTTTGAAGTTGACAACTTTTTCTGAAAATCAAGTCCTGAGGAGATATGCCACGTGGAACGTCGTCTACTCGCTAGGAGCCGCATGGAGCCTTGACGCCAGCCTTCTGCCAAGTGGCATATCTCCTCAGGTCCTAATTCTTCAAAAAAGTTATCAACTACGAAAACGAAGCCCTATTTGCTTTTAGTATAATCTGAAAATTTCAGACAGATTCAAAAAGTTTGAAATAGAATTTCAACTATCAATATTTTTAACTTCAGAATTTCCAAAAAGATTGGTTTTTAGATTTTTTAATTTTCGAAATTTCAAAATTTTGCAATTACCTGACAATGTGGACAGTCCATCTCAATGGGCATCACATTGTATGGTGATGCTCTCGATGTTATATATCTTGAGTCATTCTGTGGGGTGGCCTGGAAACAAAATTTTAGAATCTTCAAAAAAAAATCAAAAATTTTTTTCTCTAAAATTCTAAAAAATCGAATTCTCTCAAGTTTTTAAGAGTACTCTGAGCTATCGACCTTGAGCTCCACACTCATAGAAATCTTACATTCTGCTCCACATCCTCTTCTGGAGTATAGCTGGGCGGGGCCTCGGGTTTAGTCTCCATCATGGAAATTCAGAAAAATAGTCTAGAGCCCACGAAACACGTGGATGGAGCTCCAGAAGCACTAGAAACGCGCTAGGGATCACTGAAGACGTGCCCAGCACCCTAGGAGAGTCAGCAATACACCTGCGTCTCTCACTCTCTAGTGTTTGGTGCGCTGGAGCGCACTTGCACACAAGGGAGAAAAATTTCGAATTTATTTATGTATTCTAGCCGATTTCTAGCTCATTTTTGCTAGTTTTTCTTGCTTTTTCTTGTGGAATTCAAATAAATGAAGAAAATTAGAATTTTTAAGATGTCTTCCCTTGACGCAATCGTCAAGAATGCCGAAGATATCGCGTTTCAAGAAGGCGAGGAGATAATAGAGGAAGTAATCGATGGAGGAGAAGTTTGGATGGGCGAAATAGGTGCAGAAGATAGTGCTTATTATCAGGCGCACGATTTAATGGAGCATCAAATCGTCGAATACGACGATCCGGATGCCTATCAGTCGTTTTTGCCTGTTAGAGGCGGTGACCCGTTTTATTCAATGAATTTGCCGGATTTAATGAGCAGAATTCATGATATTACTCAAGAAGACGGATCTGTTGTTCGTCTAGTGTCGTGCTTTAATCGAAAATGTCAGAGACAAGTGGCTTTTAAGGGATTTCTGTATACTATTAAAGATTGGGTGAGTATAAATAAATTTGATAATTTAAACATTCTAATATGGTGAAAATGGAGTGAAATCGATAAAAAATAGCTTAAAATCATGAAAAAAACAGCTTGAAATCAAATTTTTGACCTCAAAAATCATCAAAAACTGTTGAAAATGAACCGAATTACGGCGAGTTGAAAATTTTACTGAGGCTTAGAGCGGTTTGTAGTTTGTAGTCGCTTAGCCTCAGTAAAATGCTTGGCGCGCACTAGAGGGTTTACTGAGGCTAAGCAACTACAGACTACAGGTTGGCCTCAGTAAACACTCCAGTGCATCATAGCCTTTACTGAAGCTTAGAGCGA